ATATTATAAAAGATTTAAAGTTGGACAGCAGGGCTAATAATTCTGGCTTCAACTGTGTGCACCCGAACACTTTAATCTGCTGAAGAATTGTGTAGGATTCTCCATCTCCAGCGTGATCCTCGTGTTTCCTGAAATGAGCTGTTTTCATGATCCAGCCGCTGCAGTTCTGTGCGAAATTAATCTCGGATGCACAATCACAGCACACTTCAGCTCATCAATAACTCATGCCTGCTTCTGAATAATCATGCAGAATAATTAGCATATGTTATTGAATAAACATCTCAGCGTGCTGCACAATCACACACACAACAGCCCACACAAGGCGGATTTACATTGTTTTAGGGTTTCTTGTAAAGCAGTGACAGTAGATTGTGCTTTCTGTAATAACTTCATCCCAAAATCTACATTAAAATATATAAATAACGCCTTACAGACTTAATCTTTCAGTGCAGTGTTGAATATTCCACATCTTGAGTCACAAATGCATGTCTTCATTACTATTCCAACAGTGATAAATCACATTATATATATATATTTATTAAGCAGTTGTATGTAATAATTATGTAATAATGTTGTTATTATTAGTCATGTTAACATAACATTACAGGATTTTGCCTCTTCAAACATGCAAAGCCAAATATAAATATATTATAAATGTATATATTATGAATACATTATCAATAAAATATGTGTGTGTGTGTGTGTGTGTGTGTGTGTGTGTGTGTGTGTGTGTGTGTGTGTGTGTGTTTTTATATACACACACACAGATTTACATTTAAACGGGCAAATAAAAGAATGAGCACTAAAATCACAGCATGTCATATCTTCAGTGTGTGTGTGTGTGTGTGTGTGTGTGTGTGTCTGTGTGTGTGTGTGTGTGTGTGTGTATGTGTGTGCTTTTGACACACTTTAGGGAACAGAGGAGAGCATGAGGACTAAATAAATAAAGATAGAAGAGAGATGAGTGCACACACACACACACACACACACACACAAACTGTCAGTCTCACACGGACATAACACTCACATACACACACACTCACACACACACTCTCTCACTCACATAACCCTAACACAACAAACAAACATAGATATGCTATTTTACACACACACATGCACATTAACTACCAAAGTCTCCCACACAACACACACACACACAGACACACAAACTGTCAGTCACACACACACACACACACACACACACACACATTCACAACTGTCACAGTCACACACACACACAACACTCACATACACACACTTACAGACACTCACTCAAACACGCAAATGCAGACATGCACTCACACACACACACACACACATGCACAAACTTTTAAAGTCTCATTCATTCATTCCTTCAGCTTAGTCACTTTATCCATCAGAGGTCACCACAGCAGAATGAACCGCCAACTATTCCAGCATATGTTTTACATAGGGGATGCCCTTCCAGCTGCATTCCAGTCCTGGCAAACCCCATACACACTCATTCACACACACACTCATACACTACGGCCAATTTAGTTGATCAGTTCCCCTATAGCGCATAGTGGGGGAAACCGGAGCACCCGGAGGAAACCCACACCAACACGAGGAGAACATGCAAACTCCACACAGAAACACCAACTGACCCAGCCGAGACTCAAACCAGAGACCTTCCTGCTGTGAGGCCACAGAGAGTCACCGTGCTGCAGTAATAGCACTGACTATAATAACGAAGATGAAGAAGACGCAGACCTGATGTGTGTGTGTTGTAACTGAGCTGTGTGTGTGTGTGTGTTCTCCACCAGCGTGTCTGTTCAGACAAAGAGAGCAGAAAAAGTCATTCTGATCTCACGCTCGCTCCTGTTGACGTACGGCCAAGCAAACAACATGCCGTGTGTGTGTGTGTGTGTGTGTGTGTGTGTGTGTGTGTCTGGCCCACAGAATGTAAAGGTCTGCTGTGCGCGTCTGTGTAATATAAATGTCCTCCGGCTTTTGTGAATCAATGATTCCTCACCGCAGGTGCCGCCAGTCAAATTACTGAGGTGAAGGTTGCTAGGAGACCAAGGTACCCAGCTGGAACTGAGTGAGTGTGTGAGTGAGTGTGTGTGTGTGTGTGTGTGTGTGTGTGTTTGTAATAATAGGTAGCTGGCATGTTTGGGAAAGGCGATGTCATCTCTCTCTCTCTCTCTCGTATGCAGATGTTGTATTTTGTGGCTGGTGTTCATTATTGATGTCCTGTGATAGAGATGGAGTCGTGTCTACTGTCTGCTTAGTGTGTGTGAGTGTGTCTGTGTGTGTGTGACATGACTGTGTGTGTGTGTACCAATATGAGTGTGTGCATGCATCAATGTGTGTGTGTATGTGTATTTATGTATGTGCATCGGTGTGTGCGTGTGTGTGTGTGTGTGTGTGTGTGTGTGTGTGACATGACTGTGTATGTTTGTGTGTGTGTAGCATGACTGTGTGTGTCAATATGATTATATGCATGTGTGTGTGTGACGTGTGTGTGTGTGTGTGTTTGTGTCGATATGAGTTTGTGCATGTGTGTGTGTGTGTGTGTGTGTGTGTGTGTGTGTTTGTGTCGATATGAGTGTGTGCATGTGTGTGCGTGTGTGTGTGTGTGTGTGTGTTTGTGTCGATATGAGTGTGTGCATGTGTGTGTGTGTGTGTGTGTGTGTGTGTGTGTGTGTGTGTGTTTGTGTCGATATGAGTGTGTGTATGCATGTGTGTGTGTATGTGTATTTATGTATGTGCATCTGTGTGTGTGTCAATATGAGTATGTGCGTGTGTGTGTGTATGTGTGTCGATATGAGTGTGTGCATGTGTGTGTGTGTGTGTGTCGATATGAGTGTGTGCATGTGTGTGTGTGTGTGTGTGTGTGTGTGTGTGTGTCGATATGAGAGTGTGCATGCATGCATGTGTGTGTGTGTGTGTGTGTGTATGGTTAGATAGAGACCAGATTAATTAAACATCACGTTTAACAACTATAGTGAGACGCAATCCAGCGTCCATCTACTGTCCATCCATCAACTGTGTGACGTGCATTACTCTCTGGAGCAGCACAGACGAGCACATGACAGTGTGTGTGTTGGGCTGTGTGTGTGTGTGTGGTCAGATAATGTGCGTTTTTCAGCAGATGGAGGGCTGTTCATTCATTCATTCATTCATTCATTCATTTTCTTTTCGGCTCAGTCTCTTTATTAATCGGCGATGATCGGCGATGCCGGCTCAGCGTTGTGTTGTCTATCGGCCATCGGCGATGGATGATGGCATCGTCTATCAGCCCAACCCTAGTCCGTACGCAATGTTTTAGCATGAATTCAACGCAAGTCTTCGTACGTGATGCTCCAGGTTTCCAGTCTTTAAATCCAATAAAAAGTACAAATTAAAGAGAGACGAGACCCACACAACCATCAGGATTTAGACGCTCTGATGCAGACTGAGAGAAGCTGAAAGCTGAGCAGTGCATGAGGTCTCGTTCTCCAAGCTGCAGCACTAAAACAGCCGTTAATATTAAGAATTAAAAATGTTTCAGCACTCATTTCCCACAGTTTTAGTTTAGTTTTATTTGTATTGTTTGGGTTTCGACCAAAACCTGCTTGATCTCCATGTCAGCATCTTCTTTAGAGATATTATTCCCGGCCGTGCAGAGACCCTCATTATTGCAGTGTCTGTGTTTTCAACATGGTGTCATCTCTAGTCTTCAGTTTGGGCTGTGTTAGCATGTCTTTTTGTTATTGGGCTAAATGCAGCATGTAAACGAGAAAGCAGCTCAGCAGGGTTCGGGTTGTGGGTCTGGATCTCTGGGGAGTGAAGTTATTTGTGTTGTCTCTGTGGTTACTGGACTTCCAGACGATTCCCATCTCGCTCTCTCTCCGTCCCTCAGGAAGACTCCATTAGTCAACATGTGCAGTTGCAGATTCAGGAGCAGATCAGCACTTGAATGATCATAAACACATGCAGATTTACCAGCAGAACAACACAAATATAGTGGAGAGTCGGGTTCACTCAATGACTGACGGTTCAGTTTCACACACAACAATAAGAGAAAGAAATCACAAGGAACATGACGACTGAAGATGTGAAGACATGCTGCTTAAATACTTTCATCTCGCTATTTTCTTTTGCATTAGTGTCCAGCAGCTTCTCTCTCTCTCTCTCTCTCTGTGTGTGTGTGTTTGTGTGTGTGTTTGTGTGTGCATTGATCACTGCTGTTCTCTCTGTGTGGCTCCGTCTGTCAGATCCTTTAAGAGCGACACACACACACACACACACACACACACACAATTACCAGCTCTCATTAGTTCTGCCTGCTTTAATCACACTCACACACACACACACTCAAACACACAGACGCAAACACAAATGCACAAACACACTTACTCACACATGCATATACAGGAAGGCATTTACACACGCAAACACACACACACACACACACACACACACTCAAACACACAGACGCAAACACACATGCACAAACACACTTACTCACACATGCATATACAGGAAGGCATTTACACACGCCACCCCACACACACACACACACACACACACACACACACACATAAATGTGCATGCACTGATTCATTCATACATGCACTAACACACACACATACACACACACACACATACACACAGCTCTCTGATCTGTAATGCTGGAGAGATGTCAGATCTGCTATAATCACAAACACAGACATAAACTAATAAACACACACACACACACACACATATCTCTGTGATCTGTAATGCAGAAGAGATTTTTGTTGTGTTGAGTCTCTGTTGTGCACGCAGACACACACACACACGAGCAAACACTGAAGCAGGAGTGTAATTACAGTCAGTGCTGTCTGAAAGCGAGTGTTTCCTCTCATTAGTGTGTGTGTGTGTGTGTGTGTGTGTGTGTGTGTGTGATGATCTGCAATTAGCCTGTTAAACACAAGCGTGTAATCCACTCAGATTACCCAGAGAGCTTTGTGTTCAGCACACGATCACTTTAAAGCATGAAAACAGGATTTAGGACGCCGCTTTCTCTGTCTGCGCTGTGATTCTCACACACGTCTGATGCTTTGTTTTCTGCGCAGCGTCTCATCAGAAACAAAGAGCTCTGGAAAACACACTCGCATCGCACTGTTTACATATGAAGACTGGAAATCATATCAGAGCTGCTGTAGTGTGTGCTGCATGAGCCATTAACACGGCCAACACTGCAGTCACTCACAGTACATTAGAGGAACTCCATTCAGCCTGTTGTGGTGATTCTACAGTCGCTATGGTAACAACAATTATAGTAATTGATATGTTGTGGTGACTCTAAGTTGCTATGGTAACACAACAACTATAGTAATTGATGTGTTGTGGTGATTCTACAGTTGCTATGGTAACACAACAACTATAGTAATTGATGTGTTGTGGTGATTCTACAGTTGCTATGGTAACAAAACACCTATAGTAATTGATATGTTGCGGTGATTCTACAGTTGCTATGGTAACAACAATTATAGTAGTTGATGTGTTGTGGTGATTCTACAGTTGCTATGGTAACACAACAACTATAGTCATTGATCTGTTGTGGTGATTCTACAGTTGCTATGGTAACACAACAACTATAGTCATTGATCTGTTGTGGTGATTTTACAGTTGCTATGGTAACACAACAACTAGAGTAATTGATGTGTTGTGGTGATTCTACAGTTGCTATGGTAACACAACTATAGCCATTGATCTTTTGTGGTGATTCTACAGTTGCTATGGTAACACAATTACTTCAGTCATTGATCTATTGTGTTGATTCTACGGTTGCTGTGGTAACACAACAACTGTAGTAAAAGAGTGTGTAGTGTATTGTTTATGAATATCTTATATGATTCCTCAGTGGTGGTTTTGTGTTGATGTTACAGTAAAGCTGAAAGCTTCAGTTCAGTTCAATAAAACAGCCTGATATTGATCATCGATTTGAACTGATCTGAATGTGGTGTCACGATAGCGTATGAGAAATCTGCTTTTAGCAGAGATGCGTTAATCATAAGCCTGTCCTGCACATTTACAATCATTGTGTACATTGTATAATGAGGATTTGAGGTTGTGTGTGTGTGGTGTGATTGAACTGCTGCTTGATTTTCTCTTCTGAACAGGGACCTGAGTGAGAACTTCATCCAGGCGATTCCTCGAAAGGCCTTCAGAGGAGCGACGGACATCAAAAACCTGTGAGAGTCTGCAAACGCCACCGTTAGCTGATAGCAGAGGCTGCACTGCGTATGCTAACTGTTGTCTTTATGCTGTGTGTTTATCACAGGCAGCTGGACAAGAACCACATCAGCTGCATCGAGGATGGAGCGTTCAGAGCCATGCGCGGGCTAGAAGTGCTGTGAGTTTACTTATAACACTGGCAGATGTGTGTGTGTGTGTGTGTGTGTTTAATTGATGAAGCTGTGATCAACATGCTATCACGCTGCAACAAAAGGTGCAAAGTATGCAGGTCATACACTAGATGTCTGAGTGCATATGGTATGTATAGTGTGTCATTTGGGACACATCTAATACTGTACGTCTGAGTTCAGTAAAGCCAACCCTGCAGACCAAACCTGCTCATGTGTGATGAAGACCTCCATATCTCTGCTTATATTCACGCCTTTCTGGACTTTCCTTGATGTTTTGCAGAACTCTGAACAACAACAACATCAGCAGCATCCCAGTGTCCAGCTTCAACCACATGCCCAAGCTCCGGACATTGTGAGTCTCACACACACACTTATACAGTCATCTTTATGGGGACTTCCCATAGGCATCATGTGTTTGTACTGTAGTCTGTATATTCTCTCGTCTCCCCCTAAACTCAACCCTCACAGCAAACAATCTGCACTTTCACATTCTCTAAATGCTTCATTCTGTCTGATTTATGGGTCATTTTCCTCCTGGAGACCAAAAAATGTGCACACAAGGTCAACATGTACTGGTATTGCTATACTTGTGGGGACATTTGCTGTTTATAACATGATGAAAACCAGGACCAGATATACATTCTCACACACACACACACACACACTGGAGTCAGTGTTGGCGGGTCATCACGTCTCTGCCAGAAGCCACAGTCAGTAATTCACACACACACACACACACACACACACACACACAGAAATAAACACCCACGCGCTGGTTTTATGAAATCTATATTCTGCAGTATTTCTCTGGAATTTGTGAACTGTTTTACCGCACAGAGATTCTTTCTCATGCTGTCCTGCTTTGATTATTCATTTCTGTTGTTGTTCAGTTTTAGATGTACTCTTGCATGTGTACAAATGGATATTATTACAGGGTTGCATTAACCCTCCTGTTGACTTACAGGTCCAAAATGATCATTTTAACAGCAGAAAAAAACTAAACAATGTATTTTTTATCTTAAAGTTTAGTGAGCTTGTCCGCGGAGTCTTAAAAAGTATTAAAAGTTGATAAATCAATTATGAGAAAATGAAGGCCCTTAAAAGATATTAAAAAGTCTTAATCACGTTTTTATGAGGTCTTAAATTTTGTTCAAGTGTTATCCAAAGTGTTTGACTCCAAAAAAGCATCAATATATTTATTTTCCTCCTAATATTAATAATCTCATGCTCGATCCACACGATTGGTTCAGATTGGGGCACGTCTGGCCAAGCTCCTTTGTTCGGGTGACGTCATGTAATTTGCACAAATGCAGGAAGGTGATGTGACGCTCTCCACATGCAGAGAAACCAAAGAGCAAAACAGATGGCAAAATGGGAAAATTGAAAATTGAATGAAATTTAAACCTGCCGCTGAAAACAACCACATAATTTCTTATTTCTTATTTCAAGCTTGAGTTCTGTTGCATGGTTGTGCTCCATTGATTTATTTAACTACACCTGTTTATTAAGTTAAAGGTTTGATACTCATTAGAACTTGAAGTGGCTATGAGGTCTTAAAATATTCTGAGAAGGTCTTTAAAAACTCTTAAAAATGTATTGAAATAATCTTTAGGATTCTTGCATATACCCTGCTAGAGCAGTAGGCAGATTCAGTGATGGCAGAGTTTATATTTTTGGTGAGCTGTGTCTTTAAAGGTTGCATATACTGCACTGGTTTAACAATTGAAAATTTTCTTTAATATCTATATAGTATATTTATGGCTTTGATAAGTATAAAAAAATCTCCAAAAACTGTTTTATATGCTCATTTATTACTCTGTGAAATACCCCAAAAATCAGAAGGTCCGTAATTGACCATATTTGGGTCGGTCATGAATATTAATGAGCTCACACACAAGCACACAGCCTGATGTAAGCTAAACCCAGTCAGAGTAAAGTTACCTATTTTGCACACAAGACGTGGATAAAGGCTAAATTATAATGTAACTTGACAAAAGAGGCAGATAGAGATGTGTCGTGTTGTGTTTTTAAGCTATAACATTGAAGAAAACACAGCCGGGACTTGACATGACAGTTTAGTGATTTGACACTATTCAGCATCTACTTGTGACACTAAATTACACCGTAATAAACACCTTAAATTACCAAAATATACTATTAAACATGCTTTATGCCTCTTCAGAGTGGAGCTGATTAAATATATAATCTGTATATCCTGCATTTTGCGTCCTGACCATACCTGCCAACTCTTCCGTTTGTCCCGGGAGTCTCCCATATCACAGACCCATCTCCCGCCACCCTACCGGTTTGTTATTTCTCCCGGAAAACTCCCGTAATTTCACTGGTCCTCAGCTTTTTGGGTAATCTCTCATTATTTCAGGAAATAGGATTGTAATGATGATGTGTTGTCTCTGAGTTTACCATCTATGAGCACTTCTGCTGCGGAGACACTGAGACGTGAACAGGCTGCATTGTTAACTGTGGCTCGGTATACCTGGATTATCTCTATAGGGCAGCATTAACGCTGTTTCCTCTGTTTGTTGGTTCTCCCTCAGCCGTCTGCACTCCAACAATCTGGTCTGTGACTGTGTGCTGTCGTGGCTCTCTCAGTGGCTACGCGAGCGGCCCAACATCGGTCTGTTCACCCAGTGCAGCTCTCCAGCACCGCTGCGAGGACTCAATGTAGCAGAGGTGCAGAAACACGAGTTCAGCTGCTCAGGTGATGCGCGCACACACACACACACACACAGACACAGACATGCACACACACATACACACACACACAATGAACACACACAGACATGCACACACACACACACATTAAACATACAGAGACAGAAGCACACACATACACATCCACATGTGCGCACATACACACACATGCCTGATTCACACGGGGCTTCAGTGTCAACGCTTGACAGAGGGCGTGTCTGAAGTTTGGACTGAAGCGATTGTCATAGCAGCATCAGCCAATGACAGACAGAGTCCGTAATATGATCACTTTGTTCTGCTGTGTTCATGTTGTGTGTGTGTGTGTGTGTGTTCAGGTCAGTCTGACAGTGCTGTGGGTCAGTCGTGTAGTTTGAGCAGTGGCTCGTGTCCCGCCGTCTGCTCCTGCAATAACAACATCGTGGACTGCAGAGGGAAAGGCCTGACCCTGATCCCCAGCAGCCTGCCCGACAGCATGACGGAGATGTGAGTTACACACCCGGCACCATATTCACTAACACACACACACACACACACACACACACACACACACACACAGGGAGTATGTGTACACACCACGCTACAGACACATACACACCGCAATCACACTTATACTGTCATGTAGGACTCGCCACAACAGCACAGACCATACACACACACACACACACACACACACACACACACACATACACTCTCTCTCTCACACACACACATAGAGATATATTTAGACTGAGCAACTCCGTAAGAACACACATGCACACACACACACACACGCACACACACTCATTCACACATACACTCTATCTCTCTCACACACACACATACACACACACACACACACACACACACACACACACACACACACACACACACACACATACACTCTCTCTCTCACACACACACATAGAGATATATTTAGACTGAGCAACTCCGTAAGAACACACATGCACACACACACACACACGCACACACACTCATTCACACATACACTCTATCTCTCTCACGCACACATACACACTCTCACACACTCATCCTCAAACTTTCTCTCTCTCACACACACACCCTCACACACACAGATGTATTTAGACTGAAAAGATAACCAAGGACACACACTCACACACACATAGACACATTCTCACACACACATACACACACACACAGACACACACTCTCTCACATACTCACCCTTACAGTCCTAAACACGCTTACACACACAGACACACACTAACACACACACATTCACACACTCACACACACACACAGATGTATTTAGACTGAGGCGCTCAGTGAGAAACCGCAGGAATGAGCGTCTGGAATCGCTGCAATCCAGAGAATGTAAATTGTGTGTATGCATGTGCGTGTGTGTGTATGTGTGTGTGTGTTTCCTCTTTGAAGAGCCGGAAACTCTGCAGTGTTTAAGCCGGACTGCGTCTGCCTCTGGCTCTGAGGCTCTAATGACCCCGACAAATGACTTCCCTGTTTTAAAGCAGGCCTTTTAGACGGAGCACAACTGGTTTGCAGAGCCGCGGGGTGTGCCATCAAAGCAGAGCCTTAAACACACCAGCGGCACACACACACACACACACTAATCACATCCAAAGCTGCTGCGCATCCGCAAACACACTAACAAATAGCTCAAACTGTGAGATGAAAGGGGATTAGTACGTTATTATCGACAGATTCCGACTTTTGTTTAACGATCAATCCGAAATGATTAAAAATAAAAGAACTGCTCTGACAAGAAACTAATACAGAACTATACAGCTAATATAGTTATCGTTATAGTTACTGTTTAATGGTGAGTGCGCTAATATAGTTATCATTATAGTTATTGTTCATTGGTGTGTGCGCTAATATAGTTATCGTTATAGTTATTGTTTAATGGTGAGTGCGCTAATATAGTTATCATTATAGTTATTGTTCAGTGGTGTGTGCGCTAATATAGTTATCGTTATAGTTACTGTTTAATGGTGAGTGCGCTAATATAGTTATCATTATAGTTATTGTTCATTGGTGTGTGCGCTAATATAGTTATCGTTATAGTTACTGTTTAATGGTGAGTGCGCTAATATAGTTATCGTTGTAGTTATTGTTCATTGGTGAGTGCACGATAATATAGTTATCGTCCATTGGTGTACACTAATAGGATTATAGTTGTCATTATAGTTAGTGCTTATTGGCGTGTGCGCTAATATAGTGATTGTTATAGTTATTGTCGATTGGTATGTGGCTAATATTGTTTTTGTTATAGTTATCATCCATTGGTGGGTACGCTAATATAGTTATTGTTATAGTTATCATCCATTGATGTGTGTGCACTAATATAGTTATTGTTATTGTTCATTGGTGTGCGGTAATATAGTTATTATTGTTCATTGGTGTGTCAATTATTATTGTAATTGTGTGTGCAAAAATATATTTATCGTTATCATCTATTGGTGTGTACGCTAATATAGTTATCCGTATAGATATTGTTCATTGGTGTGTACGCTAATATAGTTATCCGTATAGTTATTGTTCATTGGTGTGTACGCTAATATAATTATAGTTATTGTTATAGTTATTGGTGTGTGCGCTATTATAGCTATTGTTAGATATATTAGATTAACTGTAGATTAACTGTACAATCTACATGACTGTTTTCTGCAGTACTGAGCCATCATTCACCAGAAAGCTGATCTTTCCTTGAGAGGAAAAGTAGCATCAGTTATTCAATTTTCAGATCTACGAAGAGCTTTAAACATCTCCAGATCCAGAAGTAGAGCTCATATTTCTGAGTAATGCTCAGTAAACATGTACTGTATAACAGCCTGAGCTTCAGTAGATCCCCCTCGGCTTTACTGATACAGCAGCGGCTTCATTTCTGGAGCCAGAGGGGCTGTTTTTGTCTTAAACGCTGTACATGAAGAGGACACAGAGTCTACATTTACCCTACATAAAGAGAAGGAAAAAACGAATGTTTGTGTCCATCAATGTTGATTTTATAATAAAAACCAAGACTAAAACTATTGGTCAAAAAATTGTTAACTGAAATTCGCAATGAACAAAAAAACTAAATAAAACGGAGAAAAGTCACAAAAAATTTAATTGAACCAAAGTGATATTTAAAAAAAAACGTTATGGTGCATTCGTGTGTATGCTAATGTAGTTATTGTTCATTTGTGCGTACGCTAGTCTAGTTATCGTTTTTGTTGATTGTTGTTGATGTTGATGTTAAGATAGTTATTGCTCATTGGTGCATACATTAACATGGTTATCGTTATAGATATTGCTCATTGGTGTGTGCGCTAATATTGTCAGTTATTGTTTGTTGGTGCATTTCGTTAACTGAAATAAAATGTTAAAAATTCATAATAAATAAAAAAGTAAAACATATGGAAACTAAAAAAGTCTCTAAAAATCCAACTGAACTAAAATAATAATTAGCAAAAATCGTATAATAATAATTAAAGAAAAAAGTCAGAATTGCGACTAATATGTTTATTACTAGCGTTATGGTGCATTTGTGTTCATGTTAATATAGTTATTGTAATAGATATTGTTCTTTTATGTGTATGCTAATATAATTATTGTTATAGTTATTTTTGATTGGTGTCGATGTTAATATAGTTATTGTTCATTTGTTTGTTTGCTAATATAGTTAATGTTCTAGCTAATTTTTATTGGTGCGAACGCTAATTTCGGTATTAGTATAGGTATTGCTTATTGGTGTGTTTTGTTAACTGAAATAAATGTTTAAAAATTCACAATAAACAAAAATAAAAAGACAATAAAAAAAGTTACTAAAAACTTTTTTCGAATCAATACACGCTTATTTATGTAGCAAGAGTTTGACCTGCAGCAGTTCAGAAAAGCACCAGTAGATGGCGTTTACACAGTCAGCTACATTTCCATCCACCTGTTCTTTTTATGCGCATTATGATATCGCATAAAAATGCTTGATGGAAATGCCGAGATGTGCATAAATTAATTATGTAAAAATGTTGTAATGATAACGTTTGTGTTTTTGTGTTTTTCTCTTCGTGCAGACGACTGGAACAGAACAGCATCAAATCCATTCCTCCGGGAGCCTTCTCTCCTTACAAGAAACTGCGCAGAATGTAAGATCACAACACTTCGAATATGCTATTGATCATTAGCACATAGTGGTTGATCATTGGCGAGTGCGCTGATATAGTTATTGTTATAGTTATTGATCATTGGTGTGTGCGCTAATATAGTTATCGTTATAGTTATTGATCATTGGCGTGTGTGCTAATATAGTTATCGTTATAGTTATTGATCATTGGCGTGTGCGCTAATATAGTTATCGTTATAGTTAATGATTATTGGTGTGTGTGCTGATATAGCTATTGTTATAGTTAATGCTCTTTACTGACGTGTAGTACAAGCCAGATCTACACGTTCACATCACATCTCGTCGGGAGTGTTTTCTGTTCTCTGGCTGGCGGTCTGTCTGCTGTTCTAGCGTGTGGTTTAATGGGTAAACCGCGGGCTTATTAAAGTCTCCTCCAGAGCCTGTAATGCCTGCGTGTGCTAATAGTGTTGACCACAGCGCCACCACAGCAGGCCTGGAGCTGCACAACTGCACATTTACAGACCTACACACACACCAGAGCCAGCGGGACACATTTCAGCTCACTTCATTGACAAACTTCAGTACATACTGCCAAATCATACATAGCAGAAAATAATATATTGATAATAATAATCATTTAATAAAGGAATGTATCTACATCCAATAAAATACATCTATATATCTTTTTTATATACAGGGTGCAGTTATGAGCATCTTACAGCTATTTTGCAGTTATTTTGATTTTTTATATAAGTGTATATTATATCAAATAAGGCAAATGGGCTCAAATTAGTGGATTAATAATTTGTTCTCTTTCTTTCGCCACAGAGATCTTAGCAATAACCAGATTTCTGAGCTTGCTCCGGATGCTTTCCAGGGTCTGCGTTCACTAAACTCACTGTAAGTCTGGAGTGCTGTGCTGCCATTGGTTGATTGTGGCTTAATGTCATGCATATTAACTATGCCATGCTGTTTATATTATAATATTATATTATAATTACCCTTCACATCAATTCTGTATGTTTGAATGCTCTTATTCACTTCTTTAAAAACTTACTGTGAATTATTTGTGTATTTTTTATCAAAATGTCTACAGAGATAAAGTCACGATGATCTCTCCTAAATTCTCTGAACTCTTAAAGGGACAGGTTAATCAATAAACAATTAACAAAATGTAGTTAAAAGTAAAAGTTGCATTTCAGCATCTATTCCTACAGAGTTAAATTTGGTTTCTATTTTTATAATTGATCAACAATATGAGACAGCGCAACTCTGACACTGTTTTAGATGCTGAAAATAATCAGAAATGTTCAAATCCTCATAATATTCTGATTTTTGGACAATCGTGTGACTCTGAAGACTGCAGTAATGATGCTGAACATTCAGCTTTGAACCAGAGGAATAATGAAATGACATTTAGATATGTGTGTGCATTTATTTTTCAAAATTATATTAATATTTTACAAATGTATATTAGTTTAAATATATAAATACAGGCAAAATAAACTTTTTTTATGGAATTTTATTTTTTTATATATATTTATAAATTTATTTGTTATTTTATTTATTTTTTATTTATTCATTAATTAATTGATTTTATACTTTTATTTATTTTGTTTATTTATTAATTTGTTTATTTTCTCATTCTTGCCATTATTATTTTGATTATTCATTCATTCATTCATTCATTTATTTTCTTTTCGGTTTATTCCCTTTATTAATCAGGGGTTGCCACAGCAAAATGAACCACCTATTTTGATTGTTTGTTTGTTTATTATTTATTCATTCATTCCTTTTTTAATTCATTTATTCATCCATTCAATATTATCCATATTTTATTTTTGAAATTTATTTATGTATTTTTTTACTTGTTCATTCATTTAATAATTCATTCATCCATTATTATCCATATTTTATTTTATTAAAATTATTTATTTATTTATTTATTTATTCATTTATTATTATTATTATTATTATTATTATTATTTATGTTTTCATTTATTCATACATAATTTTATTTTATTTAAAATTATTTAATAAATAAATAAATACATTTATTTATACATTATTTTATTCATTCATTCATTCATCCATCCATCCATAATGATCCATATTTTATTTTATTTAAAATGAATTATTTATTCATTCATTCATTCATTCATTTTTTTATTATTTAATAAATAAATAAACACATTTATTTATTCATTAAATTAACTATTTATGCATTCATTCATCCAATACTTTATTTTATATTTTATTAAATAAGCTATTTATTATTAAATTTTTTCATTTGTTTGGCATTAAAAAATATATTATTATCAGCAACAATTTCAAGCTTTTGATTTTTAATATGAAGTGAAATGCTCAAGAGTATGTTTTGTGCATTAAAAGATCTGCATATTTCCTCATATTTCTAAAATCCATCCAATATCATCAATCTCTCTAATATTCAGGGTTCTGTATGGAAACAAGATCACGGATCTGCCCAGAGGAGTGTTTGATGGCCTGCACGCGCTGCAGCTTCTGTGAGTTTCTGGAGTTTAGACTCATTATTCACTGTTTCATTCATTTATTCACAACACACCACCACCCGTTCTTAAAACACATATCTGACATCACTGTATGGATTATTTTTTTGTCTTTGAAAATATATTTATAATAGTAATATGCAGCTTCTGTTTCATCATCATAATCTGGCTCTTTCTCGTGTGTTGCAGTCTTTTGAATGCAAATAAGATCCACTGTCTTCGAGCAAACACCTTCCAGGACCTGCAGAATCTCTCTCTGCTTTCTTTATACGACAACAAGATCCAGACGCTGGCCAAAGGCACCTTTAGCTCGCTGCGGGCCATACAGACACTGTGAGCACACGCTTTATACTACTATTGTAAAGCTCTTGAATTGATCTCTGCTGGTGATTCTACAGTTGCTATGGTAACACAACAACTACAGTAGTAAATCTGTTGTGGTTCTACAGTTGCTATGGAAACACAACAACTATAGTAGTTGATGTGCTGTGGTGATTCTACAGTTGCTATGGAAACCCAACAACTATAGTAATTGATGTGTTGTGGTGATTATACAGTTGCTATGGTAACACAACAACTACAGTAATGAATACGTTGTAATTTTACAGTTGCTAGGGAAACACAACAACTTTAGTAACTGATCTGTCGTGGTGATTCTACAGTTGCTATGGTAACAACAACTATAGTAATTAATCTGTTGTGATTCTACAATTGCTATGGTAACACAACAACTTTAGTAACTGATCTGTCGTGGTGATTCTACAGCATCTATAGTAATATAAACAAATGACCCAGTACTGTAGTTTTCTACAGCTATAGGGTATATTACACTACAGTACAACACAGTTTACTGTAGTGAAAACAAAAGTATACAACAGTGTTTATTACAGTCGATCACTTCACTATAGTCAACACTACAGTATGCTGGAGCATTCATCAAGAAATTGTTATCGATACTTTAATATCTAGAGTGTAATACACTTTACAATAGTATGGTTTAAAAACCCTAGTGTTTTTTCATGTTAGTTAAATCCTGACACCATGTACTACCAATTATAGAGAATTGCATTGAGTATAATGTTATACAATAAACTTGAATACTAGACCAGACTATTAAGAGTTACTATAGTTAATATTAGCACACAAAATCTGATAAGACTACCCAAGAAATGCAGTCTGTAATAATCTCAGGCATGTCATTTGTAATCAGCTCTAGTTGTTGACATCTCAGAAGTAATTCACTTGAGACTGGTGACCGATCTAAACAGTGATTTACGCTTGCACTGCGGCTTCCCACACACACATTCCAATACTCTGAACATATTCAGAAAATATCCCGCAAATAACAGGCTGCAGATTGACAGTGTAAACTGCAGCTCCGCACGAGAGGTCAACACAGGGTTCAACCAGATGTTAAACTGCAGGTCTAAACCAGTTCAGCCAGTCAATACCAGTGCTGGAAATCATGCTTGAGTAAAAGCACCATTACTTGGCAAAACAATGTAGTGCAAGCAGAGTAAAAGTGTCTGTTCTAAACACAGTATGAGCGATAGTCAATACCATCAGCTTTGTGAACACTGACTGTCATGCAGATTTAAAAAAAAAAAAAAAAAAAAAATATATATATATATATATATATATATATATATATATATATATATATATATATATATATATATATATTTTTTTTTTTTTTTTTTTTTATATATATATAATATTTTTGATACTATAAAACATATTTGCACTCTTTCAGTGTACAAAAAGCCAAACCAGGCACTGCAAATCAGCCATTGGCTAGAAGCCTATATGAGGAGTATGTGGGTATAAATTATACACACAAAATACATAGGCCAGGGCACATATTTCCCAGTTCTCATATATGTCACCCTGGACACATATTCCCAATGAGCCTGTGTTGGATACAGCTCTATAAATATATCCTAGAAAGAGTAAAGTATGCATTTTTCAACACTGGAACTGCCAGATTTGTAATGTTAAACTCCCTAATAATGTTCTGTTCCTGAGGAAAAAGGGTTCAGTTGCAGTGATTTGAGTGATGTGTAATTTGTTATATTTCTGAAGAGTGTTTTGATCTTCTCGTCTCTCAGTCATCTGGCTCAGAATCCCTTCATCTGTGACTGTAACCTGAAGTGGTTGGCAGATTACCTGCGCTCCAACCCCATCGAGACCAGCGGAGCGCGATGCACCAGCCCTCGACGCCTCGCCAACAAACGCATCGGCCAGATCAAGAGCAAGAAGTTCCGCTGCTCCGGTAAAGCACTCACGCTTTGCCCATATCACATTCATATTCATGTATTCATTAGCATGATATGGTACCAGTGCTTTATTGTTAATCATAGTAATTGTCATTTCTTAGTGTAATATAGTATAATGTAGCAGTAGTAGTAAACATGCTCAGAAATAAAGGTATGTGAGCTGTCACTGGGGTGGTACCTTTTCAAAAGGTACAAATTTGTTCCTAAAAGGGCCATAATATTACCTCAAGGGTACATACTAGCACCTAAAAATAACAAAAGTGTTCCTCTTAAAATTTGTAGGTACTAATATATACTTTTGAGGTACCAATATGGACCCTTCAAGTACAAATTTTGAAAAGGTACCGCCTCAGTGCAGCTCGTGTACCTTTATTTCTGAGAGTGTAGGATCTATTGGAACTCATTTATCTGCATAGTATAGTATAGTATAGTATAGTATAGTATAGTATAGTATAGTATAGTATAGTACATTACAACACAGTACATTATAGTAGTGTCATATAGTATCAATTGTATTAATGTATTTGTATAGTATAGTTTAGTATAGTATAGTATAGTATAGTACATTACAGCACAGTACATTATAGTATAGTGTCATATAGTATCAATTGTATTAATGTATTTGTTTAGTATAGTATAGTATAGTATAGTATAGTGTATTATCATATACTATAGTATAGTATCGTATAGCATAGTGTAGCATAGTGTAGCGTAGTGTAGTGTAGTAAAGTATGGTGTCATATACTATAATAAAGGTATTTATTAATTTGTATAGTATAGTATAGTAAAGTAGCATGTAGCTCTGTTAGTAAAGTATCTATTTTAATTTATTTATTTCTGCATTGTTGTATAGTATACGGTTTCTCTGCTAGTATATTAGCATATTTCTGTTCAGTACTGTACAGTATAGTGTAGTGTGGATTTTTTTAGTATATTAGCATATTACTGTTTATCTGTACAGATCAGTAAAATATAGTATGGTATAATATAGTATCATATCATATAATATACTGTTATATAATAAAGTATAATGCAGCTCTGTTACTATATTATCATTTATCTGTACAGTACAATATAAATAGTATAAAATAGTAAAGTAACATGTAGCTTTGTTAGCATAAAACCATTTAAATACATTTATTTGTACAGTACAGTACAGTATAGTATAGTATAGTATAGTATAATGTAGCTCTGTTCGTATAGTGTCTATTATAATTAATTTACTAGTATAGTATAGTATAGTATAGTATAGTATAGTATAGTATAGTATAGTATAGTATCTGTGTTGCTCTGTTAATGTATTGCCATTTATCTGTACACTATATTATAGTATTGTGTTTTTATGCTGAGATGAAAAGCTATAAACTTTAAACTTGTGCTGGGCAAAGAATAATCACAATTTTATATATCTCATGTCATCTTATGTCTTATTCAGTGTCAAATGATCAGTCAGAGGTTATTCTAATATGCAGATTTGATGGTGATGATGAATATTTGTGATTATTATTGTTATTGTATCATCACTGACTGTGTGTGTTCCTCTATCTCCAACAGCTAAAGAGCAGTACGTCATTCCAGGTGAGTTCAGTTCTTCCTCAGACTCCAGTATTCCAGTTGAATGAAGTAGAAAAGACAGAAGACTAATTTTAGCAGCGATGACGAATCTGTGTGTCTCCTGCAGTGTGTGTTGTGCTGAATTATTGAACGCTCATTAGATAACACTCTGCTGCTTTGACTCATGTAGAACCTCTTTTAGACACACAATATATATGATTCTTTTATTAAAATATAATTTAATTCAGTGTGCCCGTGTTGGTGTGGGTTTCCTCCGGGTGCTCCAGTTACCCCCACAGTCCAAACACAAACTGATCAACTACACTGGCCACAGTGTGAGAGTGTATGTGTATGAATGAGTGTGTATGGGTGTGTCCCAGTACTGGGTTGCAGCTGGAAGGGCATGCACTGTGTAAAACATATGCTGGAATAGTTGGCGGTTCATTCCGCTGTGGCCCTGATAAATAAAGGGACTAAGTCAAAGGGAAATGAATGATTGAATATAATACAGTAGACTATATACGGTAGGCTAAACTCCGTTTTTTCTCTTTCTCTCAGTGTTTCCTTTATATAAATTACAGAGATCAATGGTTTTAGAGATCAATACATTTTTAACGAATTAAGATGTGTAAATGTTGTGTATGTTTTTGAAAGAAATTTCTAAATGTTTGCCAGCTGATTTAGCAAAAACTAATTTTTGTTGCAAAAATCTTATTTTATATATATATATCGAAATCCTGGAGGGACTGAATAGCTCATCTATCACTATGATTTCTGTAGGGCTGTCATGTTTATGAGGACTACAATTCCCTTGATTCCACACTTAGTCACAGAGCCATCAAATTGCAACCTTGTTTGTTGTGAATACACGCCCTCTAGTGGACAAAACAAATTGATGTGCCTTTAAAGTCCACATGAACCGGAAGCTGCATCTATTTTCCGTATTGTGACGCAGTTGCTAGAGAAACGAAATATTAAATGAGAAAACAGTGGGCGTGGCTTGTTTTTCTACTGCGAGCTGATTGGATGTATTAAAGTAGGCTTGCCATTTAGGAAGATGTGGAAAAGGGTTTGTGGAGAGTTATTACAATCTAACAGACTCCTCCTGCTCACCATTTCTGTTTGACGTATAAACTGACAGCTTGAGAGGCGTGGTTAAGTATGTTAGCCACGCCCAATACCTCAGACAGACCTAATCTGAGAGTTTACCTGAAAACAAAAAAGAAGTGTTTTACAGATTTCAGTTAAAAATTACAAGAGCAAACTATTATTTTATTCTTAATGACAAGCACAGATGAATTGTTCAGCACAAAGCTAGCAATGTGAGCTAACAACATCAACATGGATAGTTTTGATTTCTTGTGTAGTTTAAGACGGTCTCCTGCTGCTGTTTCTCGCCTCATGTGTTGTTTCTCTGCAGGAACTGAAGACTCCAGGCTGAATAACGACTGCAATAATGATCCCGTGTGTCCTGCTAAATGCCGCTGTGAGTCTAATGTCGTGGACTGCTCCAATCTGAGACTCGACCGCATCCCTGAACACATCCCAGCATCCACCACTGAGCTGTAAGAATAAATTCAGTTCAATTCAGCTGTATTTGTATAGCGCTTTTACAATGTAGATTGTGTCAAAGCAGCTTCACATAAATGGTCAGAGTAACTGGATCAGGGTAGTTCAGTTTTTACTGTTTAACTTCAGTTCAGTTAAACACAGAATAAACATACACCGCAGACAGTGTTTCTCCTGTGTTTATATTCCATCACTGAGGCTGTGTTTACTCTGCAGAGCTTCAGCCTGTGTTTACATTCACTCCAGACAGGAGTCCAGTCTGAGATCAGCATTCACATCAATCCCAAACTAGCATGATTCTGCTGAAATGATGAGCAGATGTCAGATACTTATCAGATCTGAAACCACATTTCACTGCGAACAGATATGAACTGTTATGAAAAGTCATTCGAGAAATCCATTGATTTGAAGATTTTCTAGAGCACTGTCTGCTGTTAAAAATGATCCTAGAGAGCCGTCTGTGATTAAAAACTAGCCTAGAGCGGCGTCTGCTGTTATAAACTAGCCTAGAGTGCCATCTGCTGTTATAAACTATCCTAGAGCGCCATCTGCTGTTATACACTAGCCTAGAGCGCCATCTGCTGTTATAAACTAGCCTAGAGCGCCATCTGCTGTTATAAACTGGCCTAGAGCGGCGTCTGCTGTTATAAACTAGCCTAGAGTGCCATCTGCTGTTATAAACTATCCTAGAGTGCCATCTGCTGTTATAAACTAGCCTAAAGCGGCGTTTGCTGTTATAAACTATCCTAGAGTGCCATCTGCTGTTATAAACTAGCCTAAAGCGGCATTTGCTGTTATAAACTATCCTAGAGTGCCACCTATTATTACAAACTAGCCTAGAGTGGCGTCTGCTGTTATAAACTAGCCTAGAGCGCCGTCTATTATTACTAACTAGCCTAGAGCGTCATCTGGTGTTATAAACTATCCTAGAGCGCCGTCTATTATTACTAACTAGCCTAGAGCGGCGTGTGCTGTTATTAACTATCTTAGAGCGGCGTCTGCTGTCATAAACTAGCCTAGAGCGCCGTCTGCTGTTATAAACTACCCTAGAGCGCCAACTGCTGTTATAAACTAGCCTAGAGCGCCATCTGCTGTTATAAACTAAACTCAAAATCAATTAAAGTGATAGTGGCGCATTTAAAAAAAAATTAGAATCAATGCAGAATCAAATTCTCTCACAATTTTCATCAGCTCTATGTCTTTCATTGATTTCCTTGGTGTTTATTTGTTTTCCAATAGCATCAGTATCATTTTTCAAGCTATATTTAAAAGCAGCCCTGATCTCATTCCTCTATCTCTTGATTTTTCTCAAGGCGTCTCAACAATAACGAGATCACCACAATAGAGGCCATGGGTGCTTTCAAGACTCTTACTCACCTCAAGAAAATGTAAGTGTCACTCTTCCCTCTGTCCTAATTCATGTTTGTGAGTATTTACTGATGCATTACTCGATGTGCAGAAACCTGAGCAACAATAAGATCTCAGAGATCGAAGATGGAGCGTTTGAAGGAGCGTCTTCAGTCAACGAACTGCATCTGACGGCAAACCAGCTGGACTCGGTGCACAGCAGGATGTTCAGGGGGCTGGAAGGCCTGCGCATGCTGTGAGAAACCAACATAGACACCACAAACCAAGCACTATTGGTCTTATTCACTAATAATTGTGTATATTTTTCATATTTATACGTACATTTGAACTTCTCATGCAAACCATCTGACGTTAAACACTAGCCTAGAGTGCCATCTGCTGTTATAAACTAGCCTAGAGCGCCATCTGCTGTTATAAACTAGCCTAGAGCGCCATCTGCTGTTATAAACTAGCCTAGAGCGCCATCTGCTGTTATAAACTAGCCTAGAGCGCCATCTACTGTTATAAACTAGCCTAGAGCGCCGTCTGCTGTTATAAACTAGCCTAGAGCGCCATCTGCTGTTATAAACTAGCCTAGAGCGCCATCTACTGTTATAAACTAGCCTAGAGCGCCGTCTGCTGTTATAAACTAGCCTAGAGCACCATCTGCTGTTATAAACTAGCCTAGAGCGCCATCTGCTGTTATAAACTAGCCTAGAGCGCCATCTGCTGTTATAAACTAGCCTAGAGCGCCATCTACTGTTATAAACTAGCCTAGAGCGCCGTCTGCTGTTATAAACTAGCCTAGAGCGCCGTCTGCTGTTATAATCTAGCCTAGAGCGCCATCTGCTGTTATAAACTAGCCTAGAGCCCCATCTGCTGTTATAAACTAGCCTAGAGCGCCGTCTGCTGTTATACACTAGCCTAGAGCGCCGTCTGCTGTTATACACTAGCCTAGAGCACCGTCTGCTGTTAAAAACTAGCCTAGAGCGCCGTCTGCTGTTATAAACTAGCCTAGAGCGCCATCTGCTGTTATAAACTAGCCTAGAGCGCCATCTGCTGTTATAAACTAGCCTAGAGCGCCATCTGCTGTTATAAACTAGCCTAGAGCCCCATCTGCTGTTATAAACTAGCCTAGAGCGCCGTCTGCTGTTATACACTAGCCTAGAGCGCCGTCTGCTGTTATACACTAGCCTAGAGCGCCGTCTGCTGTTAAAAACTAGCCTAGAGCGCCGTCTGCTGTTATAAACTAGCCTAGAGCGCCATCTGCTGTTATAAACTAGCCTAGAGCGCCATCTGCTGTTGTAAACTAGCCTAGAGCGCCGTCTGCTGTTGTAAACTATCCTAGAGCGCCATCTGCTGTTGTAAACTAGCCTAGAGCGCCATCTGCTGTTGTAAACTAGCCTAGAGCGCCATCTGCTGTTGTAAACTAGCCTAGAGCGCCATCTGCTGTTATAAACTAGCCTAGAGCGCCATCTGCTGTTATAAACTAGCCTAGAGCGGCATCTGCTGTTGTAAACTAGCCTAGAGCGCCGTCTGCTGTTGTAAACTAGCCTAGAGCGCCATCTGCTGTTATAAACTAGCCTAGAGCGCCATCTGCTGTTGTAAACTAGCCTAGAGCGCCGTCTGCTGTTATATTTACATGCACATTTCTTCTCACTAAAACTTTCTGCCTAATTATCAGCACAAACGTACGCACTTGAGTTTGTTCTTAAACTGGTTTAGTGAATGAGACCCGCTGTTTTCTCTGTCTGAGTTGATCCACACGCTCTGCTTGTTTTCCAGAATGCTGCGCAACAATCGCATCAGCTGCATCCACAACAACAGCTTCACAGGGTTGCACAATGTGCGTCTGCTGTCCCTGTACGACAACACGCTGACCACCATCGCACCCGGAGCCTTCGACACGCTGCAGAGCCTCTCCACACTGTACGAGTCCATCTTTATCTGAACACACACAGTTCTGCTTGAGCATGCAGATGTCAGCTGACTTCATTATCTGGAGCTCAGTGTGTAACATACAGATGTGCCACTGCATCCTGACCGCTGATTTCATTACGCAATTCCTTCATTCTTTTCTGATCATTTCAACAAAGGCCAGGATTGAAGTAAAAATGTTATATAGCAAGAACATGCATATGTTTTAGTCACTATATATACCAATAATTGCATTGATTTAGTTTATTATTAGGCCATCACAGTATAGTTATGGATGAGATTTAACACAAAGTTTATTTAATATACCATTCAGAACTGTAATGATAACTATATTAGCATCTAAATCTTCTAAACAATGACTGTAACAATAACTGTAGAGTGTCTACACCAGTGCATAATAACTATAATGGTAAGTATATTAGTGTTCATGCCAGCAGACAATGGCTGTAATGATAGCATAATAATTATCCACACCAGCAGACGAACATTAACGAGAACAAAAGTGTTGAATTGCTGAACCTAATGAATGAATTAAAGGGCACCTATTATGCAGAATGACTTTTATGCAGGGTTTAACCGCAGTTGTGTGTCAGCAGTGTGTGAATATTTCCAGCCTCTAATGCTAAACATTAATTATTTGTGTTCGTTATGATCAGACTTGATAAAAAGCACTTTGATTGACATTCTCACTTTGTACGTGTCATCAGAAGGTGGAAAGCCCCGCCCACTAGTGCCCATCATCTTCTCTCATTAGCATAAACAGCAGCCCTGAGTGAGAAGCAGCCGTCTGTCCATCAGCCATTAGAGTGTTTGAGCTGCCTCGATGGTGAAACACAGCTTTCTGTAGCTCCGCCCTCTTCTGAAAAGAGCACAATCTCATTTGAATTTAAAGCGACAGTCACCAAACAACACAATTAGGATCAAAGCGGAATGTTGTAGATGTTGATTCAGGAGCATGTTGAAATCAGACTTTTATGTTGCACTGGTATATGTTTTGGTAATAGCCAACAAATAAACTGTATGGGTGAAATTTATAAAACATTTTTATGCATTGCTGAGCATTTAATGTGGACTTACTTTAGTTATTAGCCTGAAAGGGTCAGTGTCAGAGAGTTAGAAAACATGATCTGTGTGCTGTAGACAGATTACACTCTAGACAGATCAGAAACTTACTTTATACCTTGTAAAAAGTGGCAGAAAAGATCTCCTTTATTTAAGCGTGTAGTTCAGGAGTGAGTCTTCATTCCTCATTCTCGTGTTGTCTTCCAGGAACCTGCTGGCTAACCCGTTCAACTGTAACTGTCGGCTGGCGTGGCTGAGCAGCTGGTTGAGGAACCGTAAGATCGTGACGGGGAACCCGCGGTGCCATCGGCCCGCATTCCTCAAAGAGATCCCACTACAGGACGTCGCCGCTCCGGACTTCCGCTGTGAAGACGGTAGATGCTCTCCTCGTCACCGTACATGTTACATTCATTCATTTAGCAGACGCCTTTACCCAAAGCCAAGTGCAAATAAGGATAAAAGAAGCACTTCAACTCATCTGATTTGCTGTAGCATAATATACTGTTTTTTACCTCCCACAAATCAACTGGAAAGGAGAGAGAGAGTGTCCTACAGGTGGTTTGTCAAGCCCACTCACCTGTAAGGAGCACATTTCTGTTTTTCAGAAATATGGGAGGCTTATAGGAAAGTGTTTCGAGCATATGGGGAGGAAGTGAGTGTGTCCTACGGGTGGTTTGTCAAACCCACTCACCTGCATTTAATACATATACATACTCTAAGCAGGGCTGAGCAAAGTCAGTGTCTGGATTGGAGACCACATGGGAAAGCTAGGTTGCTGCTGGCAGTGGTGTTAGTGAGGCCAGCAGGGGGCGCTCAACCTGTGGTCTGTGTGAGTCCTAATGCCCCAGTATAGTGAAGGGCACACTATACTGTCAGTGAGCGCCGTCTTTCAGATGAGACGTTAAGCTTAGGTCCTGACTCTCTGTGCTCATTAATAACCCCATGGCACTTTTGTAACCCTGGTGTCCTGGCCAAACTCTCTCCATCGGCCCTTACCCATCATCCCCATCCACCGAATTGACTCTATCACAGTATCTGGTGTGTGGTGAAGCGCTGGCGCTGTTGTCCTGTTGCTGCCGCTGCATCATCCAAGTGGAGCTGCACACTGGTTGTGATGTGGAGAGACCCCCCTCATGACTGTGAAGTGCTTTGGGTGTACGGCCATGCACAATGAATGTGCTATAGACATACACACATTACATTACACTCAGGAAGTGATTAAGTATTGATGGAACAAGAGTTTACGGATGTTTTGTGAAGTTTGGCAGGTCATTCCAGCTTCCATACTGATGTTGATGTTGGTGTGGTGGTGTTTTCTGTCTCAGATCATGAGGACGTGAGCTGTGCGCCGCCGGTCCACTGTCCTGCTGACTGCACCTGTCTGGAGTCTGTGGTTCG